TACTGGGTAAACATTATAATTAGATTTGCTTTCTAATCACAGGATACCCAAAATAAAAATGAGTAAAATACAATTTACTTCCTCATTTTAAAATATATTTATTGATATTTTACAGAGAGGAAGAGAGAGGGATAGAGAGTTAGAAACATCAGTGCGAGAGAAACATCCATCAGCTGCCTCTTGCACACCTCCTACTGGGGATGTGCCCGCAACCAAAGTACATGCCCTTGACCGGAATCGAACCTGGGACCTTTCATTCCGCAGGCCGACGCTCTATCCACTGAGCCAAACCAGTTTCGGCTACTTCCTCATTTTAAAAGAAAGTTTGGTATTGGCAGTATCCCATGCCAGTATGCAAATTTCATGAAGTCATTAGGGAATCACATTCAATTTCAAATCTAAAACCATCACGTGGTTACCATTTCCAAGGTTGCTTGTGTCCAAGATGTCCCTAGAGTTTCAGTCATCCCATTTTTATTCCAGGCAGTAGAGAAGAGAAAAGGGAGAGGGTCAGTCAGATCTTTCCCCTGATATCACTTTTTATTTTAAGGTGACTTTACAGAAGTTTCTCCCAACAATTTCTGGTTGAATGATATTAGTCTTAGTTACATGGCCATAGTTTGCTTTGAGGAACCCTGGGAAATGTACTATTTTGGCTGGGTACATTACAACTCCCTAATAATGTAGGGGTCTTGTTAGTAAGGAAGATGAGGAGAATGGATGTGAAAAGGTAGTTGGCAGGCTCTACCACAAGTATTATCTATGTGAATAGGGGTTACGATGGGAGAACAAGGAGGTCCATAGATGATTATAAGCATAACAAGATCAAGTGGAAGAGGGTAGCATGAACCCCAGACCAGCTTGTTTAGAAGACATTGACAAAATACTGGAACGTAAGTAGCAGTGGGGTACAAGGAGAAAACTGGTCATACCTGCCAATCCTGACATAGGAATATAAGAGAATTAAAAATTCTGGAGAGGACTGCAGATGATTTCCTCAAGTGACATTTGGTTTTAGTTAAAAAGAGAGAGAAGGAATTTGAGGAAATGATTATGAAGCAGTTTCAAGGGATACAGTAGAAGAAATGGGGTCTTGGGAAAGAGGCCTGGGTTAGGTTGGGGCAAGAAAATACCATTTGTAATTGAGAGAAGTGAGAATGCAGTGAAACATGTTTCTTAATGTGTTTTGATCATCTATCCAAATGAGTTAAATTTTTTAACATGCCTCAACTTATATTTTAACAATTTCTACTCTTAATTAAAAAAAAAAAAAAAAAAGCCTTCCACTTAAAAATAAGAGTAATAACACTTAAAATTTCTTAGAAAATTTTGGTAATACAGTAAGGCATAGTAAGATTAAATTAGGAGAAAAAAATATATATCAATTATAGATATTATCATATAAGGAGATGACATTTGATTTGAGATCCCAGCAAAATAAAATAGGAAACATAATAAGTTTAATTACCTATATTAAAGAAGAAACACACATCATTAGGAAAGGAGTTATTAAGTGAGTTTTGAGACAAATGACAATAACTGGGGGGGGGGAGGGAATGCAAATTAAAAAGTTATATTTGAAATATTAAACCATAAGAACAACTAGAAATATTGTACAACTGAATATCAAGTCCTTGCGAATAAAAGAACTTTCCAAGCTTCTAACTGATAGGGGAAAACAACAATAGCTTTGAATATATAAGTATTTGAAGCCTCTGTTTTAAAACAACATGTAAAAATTGAAAGATAGTATTTGCAGCCTGTTTGTTTATCTAAGAGGTCATGGTGCATTAAAAAATAATAATAATAAATGCAACAAAAATGCTCTAAGAAAAAACTTAACAGCTCAAAAAGAAGTCTTGGGAGTTCACTCTATTATAAGAAAAAAAGCTGACTAAAACAGGCACAGAACTTAAAAGAAATATGACTGGTTTAAAAAGGGGAGGGCATCCAACTATGTTTTAAAAGGCCTGGCGGAATGGGGGAATTGCTGTTTAAAACCTAATAGGTATAAGGAGAAAAGGACCAAGACAACTTGCTAAAACATGACGAGTTAAAAGAAGGAGAAAGAGAAGAAAACTTGGTCACTTTCATGATTAAAGCAATGGATACTTAAACTAAAACAAATGCTTTTCCACTGTTGGATCCTGTGCACTGAAAATGAAACACCATGTTTTTTTCACTGTGTGGCAGTGTATATCTATACAGTACTTATGGAACTCAATTTTTTTTCTCTCTTGTTAATCCCTAGATGGATAAAACACTTAAATTTGTTTTGTGGAAATAAATATAATAATAAATTAAACCTTAAACTCTAAACCTAAGCTTGAAACTGTAGTTTCTTCTGATAAAGTTTTAAAATTAAAAACACAAATAATATACACAGTAGTGTGTGTATATTAATACTTATTTTAAAGAAGATATGCTCAGGTAGACATAATTGAACTGAAAATCCTGAGTATCAAGTGATATTATAAACTAGTATATAAAGCAATGATAGACCCAGTAGACCCAGTAGGCTAGAGAAGCAAGATGGACAGTATACAGAATTAGAGCCTTAATATATGATAATGAATGATAAAAATGGCATTTAAATCAGTAGGGCAGAATGAGCTATTCTCTTATCTATTCAGAAAATGTTTATCGAAGGCTAAGTACTAGCCTGGATGCCAGGGACACACCAGCAAACCAAATAAAATTGTGTTCATCATGAAGTTTAAATTCTAGTTGGAATAGAGACAGCATAAATAAATAGAAGATGATTACATGCTGAAGAGTAAAGTAAAACAGGGAATGAGGATAGTGTTCACAAGATTCCATTTGGGGGGGGAAAGATCTTATGTTCCTATTTCATACTTTATAAAAAAAAAAAAAAAAAAAAAAAAACAGCCAGAAACCAACTTTTTTTTTTTTTTTTAATATATTTTATTGATTTCGTACAGAGAGGAAGGGAAAGAGATAGAGAGTTAGAAACATCGATGAGAGAGTCATCAATCAGCTGCCTCTTGCACACCTCCTACTGGGGATATGCCCAAAACCAAGGTACATGCCCTTGACCAGAATCAAACCTGGGACCCTTTAGTCTCCAAGCCGACATTCTATCCATTGAGCCAAACCAGTCCTGGCTAGAAACCAACTTTTTAAAAAGCAAATAATCCAATAGAAAATTTAGTAAAAGTTTTTTCTTTTATTTTGATAAACTAGAGGGCTGGTGCAAAAAATTCATGCATGGGTAGGGTCCCTGGGCTGGCTGGCTTTTGGGGCCATTCAGAGCCTTGCGGCTGCCAACTGGGACTTTCCTTTGTTTTGCGCCACCCATTGGTGATCAGTGCATGTCATAGTGAGCGATTGAACTCTGTTGAACTTCCAAGGGAACACTTTGCACATTAGCCTATTAAATATATAGATAGTCCTACTTCATAAAGGAGGATATAGGGCCATCCAGTAAATATCTAACATCTATTTAGTAGTTAGGAAAATGCAAAACCAAACAGTGAGATACCAGTTTCAATTCAGATTAACAGGAAGTTTAGTAATAGCAGTTCTTTATGGATTTGAGGGAAATGGGTGCTTTTATATGTTGCAGGTATAACTGCGTGTTAGTGTAGTAACCTGTTTTGGAGGACAGTTCAAGAGTAGCTTTCCAAGTGAAAAAAGGTACACATTGCTGTGACCCAGGAATTCCACTTCTTGATATGTACCTCAGGGAACTTGAATGTATGCACAAGAAGGAATGATAGGGCAACATGATTTGTAATAATTAAAATCTGAGAACAACCTAAATGTGCTTTAGTTAAAATGATGTGTCCATACTGTGAAGCACTATAGCATGGACAGTGACCTCTAAAACATACAGTTGAATGTAAGAGTAAATTACAGATGATAATGTACATACCAGTGATAACAGTTGCCACTAAACTATTCACACCTCTTACCATTGGAAAAGCTATTAGTCCTAGAGGTTGTTAGCTTTACCTTTATCTCTAATGTTTTTCATTCTTTTAGAATATTTTCTACGTGTACATAAAAATACTGAAAAAAGTTCTTTTTATTAGCCTCAAGCTTAAGTCTCATTTCCCATCATTCCAGCCCATCTATACTAATAAAAGGGTAATATGCTAATTATACTGGATCATCCGGACATCCAACTTCCTTCTGGACAAAGCCACGATGGCAGGAGCCAAGGCAGAGGCAGTTAGGGGTGATCAGGCTGGTAGGGGAGCAAGCAGTTAGGGAGCAATCAGGCCAGCAGGGGAGCAGTTAGGCAGAGGCGGTTAGGGGTGATCAGGCAGGCAGGCAGGCAGGCAGGCAGGCAGGTGATTGGTAGGAGCCAGCAGTCCTGGATTGTGAGAGGCATGTCCCGGATTGGAGAGGGTGCAGGCTGGGCTGAGGGACACCCCTCCTCCCCCACCCCTGTGCATGATTTCTTTCACTGGGCCTCTAGTATTATATATATATTTTAAAATATATTTTATTTATTTTTTTTACAGAGAGGAAGGGAGAGGAATAGAGAGCTAGAAACATCGATGAGAGAGAAACACCGACCAGCTGCCTCCTGCACACCCCCTATCGGGGATGTGCCTGCAACCACGGTACATGCCCTTGACTGGAATCAAACCCTGGACTCTTCAGTCTACAGACCAATGCCCTATCTACTGAATCAAACTGGTTTCAACTAGTATTGTATATTTTATCAACATTGCTTATCTGACAATTGTCACGTGGTTTTCTATATATGGGTTATTTTTCTGAGTACCCCAACTAACCAATTAAATTACAGGTCCCTTTGACAACTAGTCCAAAAGAATCCTTAACTTGCTAACAATTTGTTAGAATAATATTTTCTGTTCTTTATATTTATAATTAAGATTCCTAGTAAATCGGAGTTTTATTTTTAAGTTTACTTAAATGTTAAATGATTTATTAGATAAAACATTTTAAAAATTCAGTCAACAAAAGATGTTAAAAATTAAATTATTTAAATTATTTTCCTTTTTTAGGCCGTTTATATGCAATGCAAACTGGAATGAAGATTGATAGTAAAACTCCTGAATGTCGTAAATTTTTATCAAAGCTAATGGATCAGTTAGAAACTGTGAGTTAAACAGAGAGAATTTCTTTTCTGATTAATGTTTAAAATGCTATTTTATTTGTGTAGGTTTTTTTTTTGTTTGTTTTTTTTTTCTGGGCAGCAATCAGCAGTGTCATTATAGATGATGAAAAAATAGGCAACAGGGGCATTCAACTGCCCCTGTTGGCCTTAACACTTCTAACATTGCTTCTATGAGTGCAGAAAAATTGGAGTATTCTTTCTTGGAGAATGAGATTAGGTGGCAGGAAGGAGAATGTGTCTTACACATAGTGACATATTTGTGAAATTCATCTCTAACAGACATTTTATGTAGAATATATCCCTATTAATTTTTCAGTATAACAATAATCCTGTGTAATAAAATCCCAGCGATCATAACAGCAGATCAGTACTGTGAAGTGCATTGACCACCTCTTGGTCCCTCCCCCTGGCCATCAGGCTCCCATCACCCGATGGCAAACTGGGAACCTGGATGGGTGGTAGCAGGGGGCAAGGCCAGCTGCAGGCAGCCAGGGAAGATGGCCCTGATTGCAGGCCAGGCCTGCTAGTAGGTAAAATAATAGCTTTTGGGTAACACAAAACTCAGTTGTTTATAATAAGCAAAGTGTAAAGTCACATTTATAAAGTGACTCATCAGGATTTATTAATATCTAAATTAAATAACAAGTAGAGTGAGTTTATTCCATAGTGAGAGCACATCTATCTAATATAAAGTTTATATCACATTTGGAAAACTTTTAGTATATTTTTGCTACCAAATATTTTAAACTCTTTTCTAGAATTAACTCTGCCTCGAGAATTAATATAGAATTAAATGATTTCACAGTTTGGAGATAGTAATTAGTATTACATGCAGGCTTTTTCTATTTTTGTTTAAGATAATCATAGCTAAAAATGTCCTTAATTTCCAACATTAAATCCCTCTGGACATTAAAGTATTTTATTGTAATTATAAGAGTATTTGTTGATTTTATGAAAAATCCTAAAGCCTTTTTTAAATATAATTTTTATTTTATAATGTCTTTGAAAAAAGCAGTTTTAAAACAGTAGTATAGTGCTAAGATATAATATTCCAGAAGGTAATTTATTTCAGTGTGACAGTCTGAGTATAATGTAGGAATTTAGTTTGTTTTTAAAATACTTTAAATTATTATATACTTAGGAAAGTGATATATTGACTGGAAATTAACACAATTTTAAATTGTGTTGATTTCAGGTTTGTACTTGTCTAAATTTAAAAAAAATTTATAATCCAATTCCAAGTTTGTAATCTATACCTTGCTTAGAATAAGACCTCCCTTTTTACACATGTGCTCTGAAAAATACTATTTTAGGATATAGTGAACCTTCTAGTATAGTTTTTTTTATTAGAAATAGAAATTGGAATAAATTAAAATTTTAAATTACATATGATTAGGAAGTAATTTTTAATTTCATTTTAGGATACCAGTTTGTACATTGAATAATATTTTATTTTGAAATGTCTTATGCTTTAAAGTAGCTACTTGGATGTGTTATCTTTCTATTCTTGGTTATTTTGATTTTTAGAGATAAATTATACTTTGCAGGGTTTCATTGATACATCTTTTACTGAAATGCATATAAATCATTCATTTAAAATGATTGTTAGGGTAATTTACACTTAAGTATACATTTCTGTAAGTCCACAATCATAAGCTTTGCATTTGCTTTTCTTTTAGCTTAAGAAACAGTTGGGTGATAATGAAGCTGTTACTCAAGAAATAGTTGGTTGTGCCCATTTGGAGAATTATGCTTTGAAAATGTTTTTGTATGCAGATAATGAAGATCGGGCTGCACGATTTCACAAGTAAGTAAAGAAAGAGGAAAATAAAAATGGTAAGTTTAGTTACTCTAAACCAGAATTATCCAGTTTTGCATTGAACACTTTCTGACTTCCTGATTAATGATTTAAATATTTAAAAATTACTTGTAGAATCTAGAATGATTTTGAGTATCAGATGCAAGCCTGTTTTATCAGAGAAAATTACTAAAAGAACATCCAGGACAGATTATTTTCTCAGAAAATATACTCTAACTAGTTCTTTAACATTGCTGAAAATGTAAGAGTTGATTTTCGACAAAAAACAGTCTGGTTCAATGATGCTGATTTTAAAAATTCCCACTCCACTTATTCAAATGGTTTGTAATTATTATAATAATATTGCCAAAAAAAAAGTACATGACTTGATATGGTTTTAGATACTACTCTAGTTACATTATTCAAGATCAAATGTATACTATAAAACCTTACTGTACCATATTTACATATAGTATTAGTGTGTTACTTTCTCCTGATAACTTTGTAAGAGGAGTTCCATTGTGTGCCTAAAATACGATTGTATTTAAAATAATTTCAGAATGCTTTTATAAAAGTTGGAATTTTTTTTCTTATAGCTACATAGCTAATTTTGCATCATTATGTTTTTTCTTTAAACTAGACCAGCTCTCTTTTCTCTTCCAGAAACATGATCAAGTCCTTCTATACGGCAAGTCTTTTAATAGATGTCATAACTGTGTTTGGAGAACTTACTGATGAAGTGAGTATATAGTTTTATTCTCTTAATCGCTAAAGATCAATATTGTTGCTGTTTACCAGATTTATTATGACAATGTTTACTTAGAGCAGCATGTAATGTAAGCAAATTTTTAATTTTAACTTCTTATACATTTTTTTTAAGTATGAACAAAAGATAAAATTATTTTTAATATATATTTGTAGGAAGTTCTTTAATTTTATATTGGGCAGCACAGGTTTTGAGTTTTGATTTTATTAAGGGTTTAAATACTACTAATCCTGTATGCTGTTAAGTTTCTTCACTGTTATTTGGTAAACATAGAGGCAGAAACTTTTTAAGAATTTTTCCTATTTCATTTCTACTCAGAAATATTGTTTATAATTTGTCTCTGTTGTAAAATACATGTAGAAGATGATATTTTACAAGGTACTTCATATTTATAATTTGTTTCTCATAATCACTCTAAGATAGAGTGCATATTCATTTTATACATGAGTAAATTGAGGCTAAGTGACAATCATTGCTGTGAATTCATTGTTGTTTTACTGTCACAAGAAAATTTATTTTCTGTAAGGGGAGATACTAATTTAGAAAGAGAGGGTGAAAAAAAAGGAAAGCTATAATGAGACTGATAAACGCTTCTTATACTGTGATTTGAAATCTATGAAGAACATTGCTTTCTGTGATAGGATTTTTTGAAGTGATGAGCAGATATTCAAGTTCCAAACAAAATAAAGTATAATCTATGAGATATTTGCATTTTTATAAAACAATATATTCAAACTGTGCAAAAAATTCATTATGTTTGTATGAAAAATAAAATCAGGTTTTAGACTTGATAATTATAAGCTGGGTTTTTGCATTGGCAGAGTTGTGCAGGACATTTCAAAGTTGTGCTGAAAAAGAGACAGTTTATTATGTGATTGCTCCTTTTATTTCAAAACACCAAGCATTCTTGGCCCTTGCCTACACAGCATTCCCCAGTCATTCAAATAACCAGAAACCATCCCATATATTCCTAAAACACCTTCTAATGTATGGTACAGTGCCCATTGAGAGCCACTGCTGTCCAGTTTTTTTGAGACAGAGTAGTATAAGAAGAAACTGAAACCTGGAGTGTAGAAACCTGAAATACTTCTCAATCATGGTACATTTTATATTCTGAAGACCCGGTGGGTCCACTCTGTTTAGCTCCCTTTCTACTCCAGTTTCTGATTCCTGATCTGGATTTCTTTCCCCCTCTGTTGTACTAGTATATGGCACAATATTAGAAATTAAGAAGCTCGGCTGATTTATCCATGAAATTATGGAAAACTTTAGATAATTCAGTATGGTTATGGAGAGTACCAGGCCGGCAAAGGAGAATAATGGGCCTCAGATTAGAAAAGTAAGTCACAAACCAGTTAAGAACTAAGTCTAGTAGGAAGAAGGGAGAAGAAAGGTAGCATAGCAATAGTGTTGGAGTGAGCAAGCTAAACACCTGAGACCTTCCATATGACATTTGTACATAAAGATTTTTAGTCTTCTAAATAAATTATTTTTACTTTGCTTCAAAAATAAATAAATAAAGTTTGTACTGTTTTTCATTCTTTTTCCATGCAATCTAGTCTTCACTGTCATTGTTTTACTGAAGAATCCATAGGGACTTTTCATTTTCAGCCATTGTGCAGGTTTATCTTACTTGTGGTATTTTCTTACCAATCCTACTTCTTGTTTGTCAGGCCAGCCTGCTAACCACCCTCCCAGCTTTCACCTCTGGGGACTTTGTCTTTTTAGCCTGCTTACATTGCATTCCCTTTAAGTCTTAGCTACATTGTTCTAGACCTTATATAAATTTCTCCATTCTCTCAACTCTTCCACCTTTAGAGTCTCAACTATATGGGTATTACACTATAAATGTATTGACTTAGGTTTTATATAGTATATTTTGGAGTAAGTTATACTGCAAGTCCTTGAAAGGAGAACTTTGTCTTACTCTAGTCTACTCTTATTTCTTTTGCATTAAGTGCCATTCACACACAGTAAATACAGTGGCTAATGAATTAATATTTCAAAAGTTCTTATAGTTAGCTTTTTATATTTTTACCTGTAGTTGGAAATAATGTTCAGACCTGTTTACATAGAACTTCTTTCATAACTTTTCTGAAATGTAATATGTCTCATTACTCACAGCATTTTGGTCTACTTCCTAATTTTCCCCCTTTTAATTTCATGTCATTACTCATGGTTACACAAAACTAAATAAAGTCAGTATTTTCTTTAGTCTTTAGCTGTTTATGTATGTGTATTTTGTCTGCTACTGCTCTGATTCTCAACTTTCTACCTCTGTTTTAGGTCTATGTATTGAACTCTTTTAACTGTGCCCAACATAATTCCATCTTACTATTTAGTTAAAATTTTACATTGCAAACTTCTCACATTCCTGTAGCTTTCTTGGATTCAGTGTCTCGGTTTTAAGTATAGAGTCACAAGAATATACTTTAATTTTATATTTTAAAGCAAGAAATGTTATTTCCTTACTATATCCTCTTAATTACTCTATTTATGGTCAACATTATTGAGAGTCTTTCTTTTGTATTATATATTTACTAGAGGCCTGGTGCATGAAATTTGTGCATGGGGGTGATGTCCCTCAGCCTGGCCTGCCCCTTCAAGTCCTTAGGCCTGGCTGATGATCAGAGCCTATCAGGGTTTTATTCCCCCAGCTGACCCAGCCCCCGCTGCTGCCACTGCTTGCCATTGTGTGGCGCTATCGCCTCTTTCCCAATACTAGTTTTCTCCCTCTGCGGGTGACAGGTGTGGGGTGCAATTCCTTGACTGGCCTAGGCCTCCCTCTGCAGGGCAATTGCAGGCTGGCCCCACATACCCACCATAGCGTCGCTGGCCGGTGACCTGGACCTCCCTCTTTGGGGCGATGGGGGGAGGGGGGCAATTGTGGGGGCCTCCCAACCAATCACATCACACCCACCTTGGCTGGCCTAGCGCCATTGTTTATTGTAGTGTGGTCCTCTGGAAGGTCGTCTGGGCAGATGTCTGGATTGTCGTTCTGTTGTTTGGTCAATTTTCTTTTTTTATATATTTTATATATTTTATTTATATATTTCTTGTTTCTCTTGAGGAAGAGAGGAAGAGAGGGATAGAGAGCTAGAAACGTCGATGAGAGAGAATCATCGACCAGCTGCCTCTTGCACACCCCCTACTGGGGATGTGCCTACAACCAAGGTACATGCCCTTGACTGGAATCGAACCCAGGACCTTTCAGTCCGCAGGCCGATGCTCTATCCACTGAGCCAAACCGGTGCCGGCTGTTTGGTCAATTTTCATATTATGCTTTTATTATTATAGATTATTATAGATTTTACTTCTAGCAATGTCTAAGGAACAGTATCATTTTACCTTTTTTTCTTTATAGTCTTTGGTTTAAGTTTTCTACTGCTAATTTAGAAAGAATATTGAAAATCACTTATAAAAGTTAAGTACACTGCTCTTATCTCTTGAGTGTCTGATAATTTTAAGGAATCAAGTGAATATGGTGTGTTTTCCTGCCCTCACAGGCCTTGTGTTCTAACTTGTAAAGAGAAACAAGCTAACTATAATGACATGTGGTCTAGTAATGAGAATATAGAGGTCAAGATCTATTTCTATCACTTTCCAGGCACTGTATTTAGATGCCTCAAGATATATTTTGTTCTTTTGTAACTCTGAATTATAGTAAGAGAAATAAGGGTCAGAAAAATGTGAGCACCTTGTCTTCAGATGCTATAGCTCAGAATAGTGATCTCAGACTTGGTGATAAAAGTCCAGCTTTTTTTTTGTTTTGCAATCTGATGCAGACTGATGGTTATATAAAATACAAGTAATAATTGAAACACTAGAAAAATGAAACTTAAAAAAGACATGCAAAATACAAGCCTAATTTGCTTTAAGTTTCTAAATACTCTCAATCTGTGTGCTATTTTGTCCAAACTGGTAATCAGTTTACAGACCAGCAATGGTTCTGGGACTACATCTTGTTTAGCACACTGATCTAGATCCTTCTATGGAAGACCCCCAGAGAATCCCAATTTATCCCAATCTGGGACTCTTGTTCCTGGAAAACCAGAGGTCTGGCACAACGGGAGCAATTATGTACTTGTGTGGCCATCTGGAGGAAGTCTGTCTCAGGTATCCATTTGCATTGGAAGTTTCTGAATTAAGCAACATCTCATTGCTAACCTAGAAAACCTTGGTTGAGTGGGAGAGCTTTATCTAATTACAAAAGTGTGTGTACTGTTCATATACCTGCACTTAATATTCAAGATATTATATAATATTATAATAAAATCCCAAGTGGCTATATTAGTATTAGAATAAAGGAACTTTAAGATGTGTTACTAGAGGTAAAATGGATATTTTGTAATAAAGGGTTCAGTTCATCAAGAAGATATTACAGTTAAAAGTGTTTCTGTACCAAAATAATAGTTTTAAACTATATGACACAAAAATTGATAGAAATAAAAATATACATAAATTCACAGTCATACTTAGAGATTTAATACTCCTCCCTTAGTCATCAGTAGAATAGTTTAAAAACAGTAAGATTAACTAAAATGAATAGTCTAGCCACATCACATATTGGCTAGAATGTAGAAAAACAAGAGCTTTCATACATTGCTCGGTGAAAATGTTAGACATTATAACCACTTTGGGAAAAGATTTGGCAGATTTTTATTAAGTTAAACACATCTACCTTTTACCCAGTAATTCCTCCTTGGTGTTTATTTAAGAGAAATGGAAACATGTGTCTAGAAAAAGACTTGTTCAAGAGTGCTCATAGGAACTTTATTCATAATAGCCCAAAGCTAGAAACAACCCAGTTGTCCACCAACAAAGGAATTGATAAGTTGTACTATTATTAAAATATCAAAAGGGACTAGTGACCTTCCCTTCAACATGAATGAATCTTGTGGATTTTATGCTGAGCAAAAGAAAACTCAGTGCAAATTGGATGATTCCCTTCATATAATGACAAATTCATTCTAGTAAAAAAATTGGGATGTTTGTTGGCGGGGGTGGGGCAAGGGATATTTGTCCTAGAAAGGGATATGAAGGCACATTCTGGGAACTAGAAATGCTATAATTTGATAGGTATGTTTTACACAGGCATACCTATCTTTCAAAGCCCATCAAATTATATACATTTAAGATTTATTTATCACAAGATATGACAGTTTTACCACACACACAAAAAAAATTATTAATTTTTCTTGATGGTATTAGGTTGTCAATTCTAAAACGGCTTACTCTGTATAGGATTAAGCAAATGAGTAAGTATATTAAGGGAGCAAGGTTTCTCACTTACGGAGGAAGAACTTAAATATGAGATGTCAGAATACTACATTGTATTGTGTTGGATTGGAACTGCAAATGTCCATATTATGCTTTTAGATGTATTAGATAAATAGAGAAATGGACAGGAATCAAGTCTGGGACCTCTTGATTCCTGGGTCAATGCTCAACAGCTGAATCACATAGGCTGGGCTATAGAACCTTTTTTATTATAATGGAGTATATAAGAGTATATTTTGATGAGGAAAGAGGAAATTAAATATGACACAAATTCAGTAATTTGGTGGGTTACTCTTTAGGTTTCTATATAATAATCTGTAGCATCTAGATAATATCATATAAACTACTCAACTAAATATCTAGACTGTGTGCTATATTTGTACTCATTGGTGACTTAGTGGATCTTTACAAAAGGCAAAGTACAGCTGTTTTCAACATAATGAAACTGTTTTCTCAAATTAATGTATATACAGATCCTCTAGGGAATTTGTTATAATATAGATTGTGCTGCAAGTGTGAATATTCTTAATTTCTAACAAACTCCCAATTGATACTAGTACCACTGGTCCAGGAGTATCCTAAAGGTCCATTAACTATACGAACTGAAAAATCACTAGTCCATTCAAAATTCTGACTGATTTTATTCTAATATTCTTTAAAATATATATGTATATTTTAAAGAATACGGTACTTACTCATTTGCTTAATCCTATACAGAGTAAGCCGTTTTAGAATTGACAACCTAATACCATCAAGAAAAATTAATAATTTTTTTTGTGTGTGTGGTAAAACTGTCATATCTTGTGATAAATAAATCTTAAATGTATATAATTTGATGGGCTTTGAAAGATAGGTATGCCTGTGTAAAACATACCTATCAAATTATAGCATTTCTATAAGAATATTATATATACCATATTCTTTAATGGTATATAGCATAAACTTTAAAGTCAAAATAAGAAGAGGCAACTAGCAGGCTATTCACTAATATTTTCAGTTCTCACAGCAATCCCATGATCTATTATTTTCTCCTTTTGGGAACTGAAATAAATGAGACTCAGAGCTGGTAAATAGTACACTACAGGTTAAAAGTGAAGTTTGCCTAGCTATCTGTCTTAGTGTTTGCTTGCTTTAACCAGTTTTCTTAGATTTGTACAGATTTACTTTTTCTTCTAATGAAAATAATTCAACTTATTGTTATCTTTTATATTTAACTAGAGGCCCGGTGCATGAAGTTCGTGCACTCGGGGGTGGAGTCCCTCAGCCTGATCTGCGCCTTCTTGCAGTTTGGGAGCCCAAGGGGAATGTCCAACTGATGGCTGGCAGTCAGACAACCTTAGTGCTGTAGTCAGATAGCCTTAGCACTGCCATGGTGATGGGAAAGGCCCACCATCGCTCCTGCACTTGCCAGCTGCCAGCCTGGCTTACAGCTGAGCAGCACTTCCCCTGTGAGATAGGGCTGAAACTGGCTCTCCAGCGTTCCCTGAGGTGTCCCAGGTTGCAAGAGGGCTCAGGCCAGGCCGAGGGACCTAATGATGAATAATTGGGGCTGGGGAGAGATGTGGAAGGTTGGCCAGCCAGAGAGGGATAGCGAGAGGGCTCCAGTGCGTGGCTGACCCACCTATCTCAGTCCTCATCGGCTGGACTCCAGTAGCAAACTAACTTACCAGTCTGAGCATCTGCCCCCTGGTGGTTAATGCATGTCATAGCGAGCGGTTGAGCAGCCTTAGCATATTATTAGCATATTATGCTTTGATTGATTGAACAGATGACTGGACACTTAGCATATTAGGCTTTTATTATATAGGATTTTATCATTCCATTTAGCCTATTTCTCCTCTGTGTATATAAGTTGCAAGTTTTGCTTGAAGGATATTCCCATATTTCCATTACAGACCTTTTCTGAAATTCAGAACCATTAGACATGTGTTTTGAGGTAGATAGCTTTTTATTAAGCCTGTTGAGCCCTAGACAGTTGGTAGAACCTAGTGGTAGGATTGAGAGGGTGCTGGAGTCTTTCAGAGCTGTACAATGTAAAAATGGGTTTTTCCTCAAGAATATGTTATAAATTATCATAAATATGTATTTTTGCTTAACTTTTTTACTGCAGTCTAATATCGATATAAAAATATTCTTTTTAGAATGTGAAACACAGAAAATATGCAAGGTGGAAGGCAACATATATCCATAATTGTTTAAAGAATGGAGAGACTCCTCAAGCAGGGCCTGTTGGAATTGAAGATGATAATGGTATGTATTTATTTCTCTATGTAAAATGATTTAGTAAAATCATAATTTTTCATTATTATCTGAAGTTTTCTGAAGGAACCATATAATTGTTTCTCTCATCAAGTGCAAAATTCATGAAAATTGGTTATAAAATCATAAATTTGGGACAGTGAGAGATTAGAAACAAACTGTTCTAATGTCTAAAAAGTTTTGTAAAATATATAGTATTTAATATAGTATTTACTAATGCTGTTTTTTTTATTTGAAATTTTATTAAGCACATATACCTTTAAATTTTTTTGTTGTTATTGTTAACTGCCTAACCTTTTTATCATTATGAAACATCCTGATTTACCTCTGTTAATATTTTTTGTCATGATTTTTATGTTGTTTATTATTGAAAGTAGTATTTCAGCTTCTATCTGCTTAGTATTTACATGGTATATCTATTTTCATCATCCTATTTTAAACATATATGAATCTTAAAGCATATAGATATTGTTGTGTTGTTGTTTTTTCAGTCTGACAGCATCAATTTAATTTACATTTACATTTACATTTAATATAATAATTGCTTAGCTAGATTTTAAACTAGTACTTTTGCCATTTGTTTTTTGTTATCCCATCTGTTTTTATTCCCTCTTATAGTTTTCTTTTCTCTGGTGAGTTTTTTCTTTCATTCATTATGACTATATTTTTCTCTGATAAGTTTCCTGGTGTTAAGTTATTTTCTGTTAATATCTGGGTCATTGTAGGTTATTTTTCTATAGACTTTCTGGTGACTGGTCACACTTTTCTCACCCCATATTTGTATTGCTTTTTAATGTTGATAAATAAAGAATTTTTAGTTCCTCTGCATTCTGTTATCTTACTCTGTGAAGTCTTGATTCCTGTTTTTAACAAGCAGTTAACTTGCCTGTGGGAACCCACAGGGATTGGGCGTAAACTGGCAATTGGACATCCCCCAAGGGGTCCCTGATTGGAGAGGGTGCAAGCTGGGCTGAGGGACCCCCATTCCCCTGTGCACAAATTTTGTGTATCAGGCCTCTAGTATGTTTATCATGAGACAAAAAACATTGTAAAATTAAAAGGAAACAAATCGAATTCAGAGATCTGTAGTTCTAGTTTATTTTAAATTACTAAGGTTCTCCAAAGTGACTAATTGCCATTTTAAATATACTATCAAAATTTAATTTTCTCAAAGTAGTTTTCAAATTTAGCTAATGATATGTAGTATATTTTGAAGTCTACATATTAAAACTTATCAACACAAATCTCTCTTTTTAAAAAAGAAAAACATATTCTGTTGATTTTTTAGAGAGGAAGGGAGAAGGATAGAGAGTTAGAAACATCGATGAGAGAGAAACATTGATCAGCTGCCTCCTGCACATCTACTACTGGGGATGTGCCCGCAACCACGGTACTTACTCTTGACCAGAATCGAACCTGGGACCTTTCAGTCCACAGGCAGACGCTCTATGCACTGAGCCAAACAGGTCAGGGTAATACAAGTCTCTTATTCTTTAATTATAGATAGCTGAATGTGAAATTTTATTTCTTTGTTTTTATTGATTAACTTAATAATTTGGACAACAAAAACACAGTCATTTGATAGATTTAAAAAAAAATGCTGTTAAGTAAAAAGGGCAGCTGAAAGAAAATAGAGTTCTTATTGGGTAGCATAAATGTGACATGTTTTGCCAAAAATGTCACTTTTTTTTAAGTTTAAAGAGTAGGTTTAAAGGAAGTTTATTTTCAGGAAAAATATACTATGTAAAAAATATTATAGAATTGAAATTAGAAATAAAGTAATCATATTGCCAGGCATAACTTTTAGAAAATATTTAAAACTGTTATTTTTAAAGATAGAGCCTGCTTATCAACAGCATTAAATAAAATTGTATTTGAAGGTTTGCCATGCCTGTATAGCAAAATAAGAATATTAAGCATTTTTATTTCAAAATACCTAGTTTAACATTGCACATATTTTCTATAATAGATGTTGAAGAAAATGAAGATGTTGGAGCCACCTCTCTGCCCACTCAGCCACCTCAGCCATCACCTTCACCTTATGACCCCAGCAACATGCCTTCCAGCAACTATACTGGAATACAGATTCCTCCCGGTGCACACGCCCCAGCGAATACACCAGCAGAAGTGCCTCACAGCACAGGTGGAAAATGAAACTCAAAAAGTTTGGAACTCTTCTTTCTCAAATAAGCACTGCACTTATATCTGTGCTACATAATGGTAGTCATCAAGCGTGATAAGATCTTTTCATTCCATTTTGACCTACAAAAAAAAATTAAATTATTTTCATTGAAATTTTTTAATATCAGTTGTGCTTTTAGTTTAACAAGAATTTTTGTTAAACTAAAAGCACAACTTTTAAACTTTTAAATGTACTGATTGATTACATTGGCTTTATATTTTATTAATAAGAATAGCTTCTATGCTTTTCTGTGTGTTTCTGATTTCTTTTTCTTCCTCTCTTTCTTTCCCCTTTAATGTTGTTTAAGAATAGCCATTTCCTTAGGTCCCTGATCTGCCTTCAACATGGGTTATTGATAAAGGAGAGGCATAGAATCTCAGTAGAGAGGCTTTGGGTTACTTTTTTTTTTTTTTTTTTTTTTTTAGGATTATGTGACTAAAATCAAGGAAGGAAAGTGATATCTGCTATCTTGGAATAACTTAGGACTCTCTGTCTATTTTCATAGAAAAATAGTCTGACAAAACTAGCCTCCAATAAGTTAATATTTGTAGATAAAGAGATTTGTATAAGTTGCAAAGAGATACCCTTCTATGTATATGTCTTGTTAAGTTAGCATCAACCCGACTTCCAAACAAAAAGGTATTTAAAACCATAGGGCAAACCAGCTGGCCCCCATCCATGCACCAGGCCTGTATCCTATACAGGCTGGCAGAGATGTGGTTAGGGGATGATCAGGCTGGCAGGCAGAAGCACTTAAGGGCAATCAGGAAAGCTGGCAGGCGAGCATTTGGGAGCCAGCAATCCTGGATTGTGAGAGGGAAGTCCTAGATTGGAGAGGGTGTAGGCTGGTCTGAGGACACACACCCCCATGCACAAATTTAATGCACCGGGCCTGTAATATATATATGCCTAAGCGACTGTTATAACGGGGATGGGAACAACCAGAAAGACTGGTTGGCCAATTGTGATGCACACTCACCACCATGGGGCAGAGGCTCAATGCAGGAGCTGCCCCCTGGTGGTCAGTGCGCTCCCACAGTCAACCTTCCATGGCCTCTCCCCCTGGCCATCTGGCCCCATCAGCCCCTGGTGCTAAACCATTGGTAGAGACCTGCTTCTGGGTCAGGGTTTCCTACATAGCAGAGCAGCTCCCTCACTGCAATGTATTGAAAGTCTGCCCTGGACACAAGGGTTTGTCTCACTCCCATCCTCTCCCTTCCCCAGGGGCTGCCCACCCCCTATGGTGTTGGCTCGGGACGAGGGAACTGCAAGGTGACAAGACGCTGATAGTAGCGTGGGTTCTGTTCCACGCCTGGCAACCGTCACCCCCTCTCCCGACCTCACGGGGGCCTTCAGGGCCCAGGCTGGGACAGGGAACCAGGGGTAGTGGCGGCAAACGTGACCCCTTTCGCATGGGGCCCAGGGCCTGCTCTCTCCTTGGGGACAACAGCCAACTTCCCTCGGTCCCTCCCCTAGGCTCCCACCAGTCAACCTCCCACAGTCCTGTCCCCCACCCCGTGCACGAATTTGTTCACCAGTCTTAACAATATTAGTGAAAGGAATAATTTTAACAATGATCTCTTTTGTGTCATCATTCTGTATATTTTACCCTGTCTTGCCTTTTCAACCATGCAATAATATTAATAGGCAAACCAATTTGAATTAGTTTGTAAGTAAAATTTTATAGAGCACTGTTTTAAACATTTAATCTTTTAGAATTATTGATAATTTCTCTAGAAAAAAAACAGCTACTTTAGGCATATTAGTCTTAGATGAATACTGTCTGGATTAAAACTACTAAATTTAAACACTCATCAAGAACTGTAGACACAAGCAGCCCTGCAGAAGAGTGAAATGAAAATAAATGTATTTTGAAGTCAAATAGAATTAGTTATGAGTTTCTTCCCATTGCTAAACCACAAACTCAACTATTATTTACCTACTTTTGACAAAGCTTTTTCCTCTTTCTAAAATGAGATTAATCATATTTCTCATGGTTGTTTTAATTTTTAAAGGAGAAAAAGAATAAAAATTGAGTAGTACTATGCCTAACACAAACTCAGTATTCAGCAAATTAGCTTCCTTTCTTTTTTTTTCTATTCCTTCCTATTTCTATGCCAAAGAAAGACAGGATATTTAATAGCAAGTTAATGAACACTTAAAATCATTTTATGAATCAAAGGAAATGTCACTTTTGGGGATAGGATATGACCTTAAAAAGATTGTCTAAGGGGTATTGCTTTAGACAATATATCTTAGGGCTGAGTAGAGGTATAGCCATACATACATATTTTATTTGTAGACATCCTATATGTACATATGCAAGGGAACATATAATTCCAATAAAAGGGCTCTGTCAGGTTGAACCATATGAAATTGCTATTTTTGTTCAACAAAAGTGATAGAATATTGGTAGTTTCATATGTTCAAACTAACAGACAATACTTCCTGCTTAGAATATGCATCACATAAAGATAGATATTAGGAGGTAATCTTCTATTAGGAATAAGATACTATCTTTTTACTGTATACACTCTCATAAGCTTAGCATTTATACAATTACAACTGTTTTATAAATCTACTCTTACAGAAACTGTATTAGTTATTGTTGTCCTTATTTTACTAATAGTAAACAAATTAACCAGTTATCTCAAAAATTAAAATACAAACATACTTAGTAAGTAGAGAACTAGAGTTTGAACCCAAGTCATTCTGATTTTGTGTTTTTGGAGCCTTCCTTTTTTATCCCTTTCTCTAAGGAGCTAATATTCTATCAAATATAAACCTACTTTTCTGATACATATTTACTCTTAAAATTGATTTGAGATGTTGGAATCTTCTCTTTGCTGGAGGAAATTTTTTCTGTTATATTTAAAACAGTTTTGTTTTTTTTTAATCCGTTATAGTTGCCTAATAGAAACTGAAATAAAATTTTTGTTTATAAATATAGCAGATGTTTCCCCTTTTACTTGCTTTAAGAATGATTTACTTTCTCCCATATAAAGGTCCAGGATGAACTTTTATCGAAGGGAAATCCTTAAGATAGCTGAAAAGAATAGTACGTGCTAATATAGTTTTTAGTTCTTCCACAAGAAAGTAATGGGTACAACCAGAGCAGGGATAGTGATTGTTTAAAGAGGACATGTGTTTGCTCTTGGGCTTTAATCACTGTAATAGCAGATATGGACAATACAGTGAACTGTTTTCTTCCTTTTGAAACATCACTTTTTACAGTTGGTAAATATAGAGGAAGATTTCAGTAAAAAAATCTAGATTAAGTCACAATTTTATAATTAATGCCAACCTTTGAATTATAAATGCAACTCACCTCATATATAGATCAAAAACTTAGTTCTTTTATTGTAGTTCTTCTAAATGTCAGCAGTTTTGCATTTGAGTTCCTCTATACAGTTTTCAAAGTTGTTTATATTCTAGCTTAATCATTTGTATCAATACTATTTTTCATGATTATACTGAAGTTTTATTCAACCCAGTCTTCCTGTCTTTTCTTTGCTTAGTATTCCTCATAGATAGCATGTCTTTCTGCCTATTTGTCTGCTGTTCCAAATGCTACATTTCAGCATTCTGTTTAATTATACTTTTTTGGACAGTCTTCTCTCATTTTCTAACAAAACCCATTTTTCTCACACCATTTATAAAACAAGTTAATACTTAACTAGAAATCTTGTGATCTTTAATTTTTAAATGTGTATTAATCCCATCTAATAGGATTCACAGCCATCTACTTAAAAATTAACCCAAAGTTTACTTTTTAATATTTCTTTTTTGTTAAATAATAGAAAGCCATTTTCAACATCCCCCAGGAATATTCCCTCCCACACACATATTGCAGTCTAGGGGCCTGCAACCCATTTGTGAATTGACAAATGATACCTTCCCAAATCAGAAAAAAAGGGAAAAATGCTAGATTTTGGCATCTCAAAAAACAATAAACATAAATTAAAAAACATTTTTTTACTAATTTGACTGTTACTTATGCACTTGTATTGAGCCAGTATGCTAGGCCTTCGTGGCAATGTTCTACAGTGATTGCCAAGAGGACAGGCCTTGGCTCATGTGTGTTAAGACAGACGAGATGCAGCATCTTCTAACTGCTGTATGAGGTATGTTGAGCAGCCTGTGTTTTCAGTGCAAGATCTAATTGAATGACTGACCAGAAGTCCTTAATGAAATGCAAACTATTTTTAAAATATCACTCAAATAAAATGTTACTACATAGCAATATTTTCTCCCTGTCTGTTTTGTTCTTGTAAAGTAATATTGCCTAAGTAATATTTTCATGATTTAATAGTTCCAAAGGTATAAAATGAAATTAATTTGCCCTAAATCAAAATTAAATGAGATAACATAGTATATATTTAAGCAATTTTTCTTTTTGGTTGGTAATGAGAAGGTCCTCCAAAGTCAAAACTTAGATCTGAATATTATTTTAAATTTTAAGTCAGCCTTTTTAAAACCATCATGGTAGAACTTTCATTGGCCATGTTTTTGTTTTCCTAGAAACTTCCTAGTTATTTTCTTTAATTTTCTCCTTTTTATTACATTGTCTTTCCCATTTGATACTTACTACAAATTGCCTATTCAAATTTAATCTGTTAGCTTGGGGAAATGAATCCTGTTTTCTGTTGAGTGTATTGATTTAGAGTAATCAACTTTTTTCTTCATTTGCTTGCTTGCTAATTGGATCATGTAAGTCCCTCTGGGAAGTTTTAACAATTTGTGTTAATATTTTAGGTGATTAGTAACCTTCAACTCTATTATATTACTTAGCATTAATCAAAAATGCTAGTGTCCGGCTGGTATGGCTTAGTGGTTGAGCACTGACCTATGAACCAGGAGGTCAGAGTTCGATTCCCAGTTAGGGCACATGCCCGAGTTTTGGGCTCTATCCCCAGTAGTGGGTGTGCAGAAGGCAGCCAATCAATGATTCTCTCTCTTCTTAGATGTTTCGCTCTATTTCCCTCTCCCTTCCACTGTGAAATCAATAAAAATATGTATTTTTTAAAGGATGATATTCTTTATATAACCAATAAACAATTAGTTTTGACTTCCTATTAGAACTTTTTATGACTGTTAAATTCAGTCATTTTTTTAAAAATCATATTTTTATTGATTTCAGAAAGGGAAAGAGAGAGATAGAAACATTTAGTGATGATAGAGAATCATTAATCGGCTGCCTTCTGCATGCCCCCTACTGGTGATCAAGTACTGATCAGAATCGAACTGTGACCTCCTGGTTCATAGGTTAACTCTCAACCATTGAGTCACTCTAGCTGGGCAAAAGTATCATTTAAAAACATGTTAACTGGAAAATTTGGAAAGTATAATCTTTATTTCATGCAGAATGGTGAAATGGGACTTACCCTGTAAGGTAAATTACCCTGTAAGGTAAATTAAATCATAATTACATTCCACCTTCTCCCCAAATTATTTAATTGGCTAAGAAATTAAAAGGTAGGAAGGGTTCTACTACTTCTACAGATATTTGGTAAGCTATAATTGAGAAGAAAATTAAAGTAGTATTAGATATGACAAACTACATTCTAGGAAATGTGTAACTAATACTATATATGTAAACACTCAAAATATATTTTCCTGCATATTTTCTACACCAGCCTCCATCATCAAATAACTATCAATTTAGAATTCATTAAGGTGTCGAGGAAATAAAGTTACGCATTTCTTCCATAATGCTTTAAGTGTTTTCCTGCTAGATAGCAGGATAATTAAGAGGTATGAAACTTTAATACCCTTTGTGGTTTTCTGATTTGCAGGTGTAACAAGTAATACTCTTCAGCCTACTCCACAAACTATTCCAGCCATTGATCCTGCACTTTTCAATACAGGTTCCCAGGGTAAGTCAGCTAAGAGTTTTATAAGTTATAATGTATCTTTTCTTTTGGGGTATTGTTTTGTAATTTTATCTTAGGAGTGTCCAGGTAATTTGAAACACATTTCTTTGAGTGCCACGTTCACCCCCACCCCCACCTCCAATTGACTTCCTCGATTAAGCTCCTACCCCTCCCCAGGCCTTCACCACATCATTGACTGTCCATGGGTTATACATATATGCACCTTCTCTCTAAAATTTATCATGTTTCTTTTGGTCTTTCTCATTTAGTTATCATCGTATGTCTGATGGGATTTAGTCCTCTTTATTTACAATAGAATGAAAACCTTACTCTACTATTTTTTGTTACTTAGTTTGAGTTTGTATTTCCCCTGACTATGTCTGCAGGTCTGTTTCCCATGTGATTTTTTTATTCTCCTAGTGAGAATGGAAACTGGCCATTAAGCTACCTGCCTCTAAGTTGTGGAACTAGAACTAGAAGAGCTTTATTTAGAAGGGTGATGGGAGGAGGTGACACATCTACCATGCTGGTGCCATTATGAACATAACATGGTTACATTGATTACATTGTGTTCCTCTAATTCTGCATTCATTTGGTTTCTAGTATGACAGCAAAAATATTTATTTATAGTTGGTTCAGAATTTAATGAAAGTTAGGGAACATGAGAGTTTGGAGCACAGTGTGTTCTCTATTGAAGGTAATGGTGTCTCCAAATACCAAAGACTATGTTGGTGACTATACATTTGAATAGATGCAAAAATATTTTAAAGATTTATAAGCTGTAATGTTAATGAAAACAAGGAATGACTTTTACGTGCTGTTGATGGGACTATAAATTGGTAAAGCTTTTCCCATTAGCATTATGTCAGTATCAATATCAATTAAATATCCTTAGACGTGGGCATAAAATGTATTTACAGAGATATTTATGTAACAGAAATCATTTATAGTAACAGAAAATAATCTTAGGTGCTTATTAATGGAAAAGTAGTCAATTATGATCTATAGTCCAGGCGTCCTCAAACTTTTTAAAGTGGGGGCCAGATCACGGTCCCTCAGAGAGCTGGAGGGCCGGACTATATGAACTACTAATTCCTACTGTAACACCTCGGCTGCGCTCACTGCCCAAAAAACCTGGCGGGCCGGATCAGACTCCTCTGCGGGCCGCATGTGGCCCGCGGGCCGTAGTTTGAAGACTCCTGATACTAACGAATACTGTGCACATATTAAAAAAGGGTGTGATTGGGGTCACATCATCAGTCACATTCTTTTTTTCTCCCAAGTGTCCATCAATAGATGAGTGGATAGAAAAGCTATGGTACATTTACACAATGGAATACTACTCTGCTGTAAAAAGAAAGAAAATTTTGCCCTTTGTGACAACATGGATGGTCTTGGAGAACATTATGCTGTGAAATAAGCCAGTCAGAGAAAGACAAGTAACATATGATTTCACTAAATATGTGGAATTTCACAGAAAAAACTGAACTGCCAAGCAAAATAGTGATGGATGCAGAGAGAGCAGGCAGACAGCTCTAATGGGGAGGAGAGGATGGGGTATAGAGGGGTTGAGCAAAAAAAAGAAAAAAGAGAGAACTCAAGGATATGAATAACAGTATGCTTGATTGTGGGGAGGGGGTGGTGGAGGTGGAAGAGGGCAGAGAGAGAATAAGTGGTGATGGAAAAATAAATAAGAATGTGATAACCCTTGTGAAAAGATCTAGACACAGTAAGTAAAAAATCAAGTTGCAGAACATTGTATAGTATGGCCTGTTTAGTAAACAACAACAAAAAGTTTAAAACAACTATATCCTAATATTTGTATATATTTATTTAAATGCATAGGAAAAGCCTAGAGAAGTCACAAAAATAAATAATGGTTTCATATCCACCATATCTACCATCACTATCACTTCTAGTACTTTTACTATCCCCTTTTCTCTTTATTGTTTAGTTTTTAATGTACACATAATATGTGTGCATTAAGTATTAATATATTTTCAATGTTTTTGTAATGAATTTTTTGCTATCTCTGGAGAGGAGAATGGAATTGGAAAGGGTATTCGAGGCTCAGTATTTACTTTTTACTTTGTGTACCTCTCTATATATAGCATTAGAATATGAATAACAACTTATAAATTTTTTTGAGAATAGAATATCTAAATGGCATTTGCATAGTTCCTGGTAAAATGAAACTCTACCTCTAATCATGGCTACTGTTGTTGGCATTAGGAAGTGTCATGTTTTGGTGATGCCTAGGTGGAAGGTAAGGTTTCTGCACTATGCTTTACAGCTACCTCCAAGATTTACTGCAGGTCAGAGGGCACCCCTCCAGTCCTGCCTGTGCATCCACTGAGTCAGGGAATAATAGAGTATATTAGGATCAAAGAAATTATCCAAGGTTCTTGACATGAATTTCTAGAACTACCTGGTTAAATAGAAAAGAAAAGAATCTCAAAGACTCATTTTGGAAATATTTACAATTAAGTTTTATTCCTTGGAAACTTGATAATTCAGCCTTGGAAATGATTGCTTATGCCAACTGAGCATGCAGGGATTTCTCTTTATACCGAATAATGTGGCCTTTGATTCAGTGCTGACCGAGGCACTCTTTCCACTCTGCTGGAGAACTTGATGGATAGCTCTAGCTGTCTTCTGTGTCTGTTCTTGTCCTGCCCTGTGAAGGAGAATCAGGTCTGTGGTTCAGACAGTCTTGTCTGAAGCCTAAAAGCACATATTTCAGAAAAGAGATATTATGTTAAACAACCTCTCTAATCCTTTAAACACCTTTTAGGGCCACAATATTCTCTCTGTCTGGTTCTGATTATGGGTTCTGGCAAATTTTAATGATAGGAAAAAACAACTTTTATTTTGGTACATTAAGCAATGTTTACTATTTTTTATATAAAATCAAATAAAATGAAATTGAACTGTTTTTCCTTCCTATGTCTTTTCTACTTCCTCTGTTTGGTTTTAAATGCTAATTTAGAAGAGTCATAATTAAAAAACAGACTTTGTTTTTATTTAAAATTTTAATTAAAATGTTTTATTTTAATGATTTATATATTATTTTTTTAATATAGGAAAGCCTAAACTGTTAAGAAATATCAGAAGTAACTATTGAACTGGCTTAATAAGTTATTTATACTTCTGATTGTTGAAAATAAATTACATGTCTAAGTATATAACTCATTATGTATCTAAATTATAAGTTGGTTATTATTTACTTTTTGAGTTAAAATTTGTCATATCTATTATATTTATTACATATATATAATTATATTTTAAAATACTTTTATTTATATTTTATAAGTATTAAAATATTTATTTTATAAGAAAAGTCAGTATTTTGTGTATTAAAATAGTTTTATCATTGTTAGATAGGTTTAGTTATAAACCTAAAATAGTAACTGAATTCTTGCCACTATACACATTTTATCTGATTAATAAATAAGTGATATGTCAGCAAAACAGTGCTAAAGCTAATGCTGAAAAAATAAGATTAGTCCTGAGCATTAGGACTTTCTTCCAGGAAATCCGGTAAATTCTGGGCGGATGCCTTTTATTTTTAAAGATTGCCCTGAGATATGAGGTAGGATATTAAAACACAAAATGAATAGATTCATAGTAAACTTGATTTTTAAAGGTGTCTCACTTACTTAGAAAGTATGTATATCTTAGTTACTATTCTCTTAATATATGTTGAAAAACCATTAAAGAATCTGTAGGTATTTTCAAGCAAAAAATACAAAGTGAGGCATGCCTGACTAAATTATCTAAGGAACTGCAGGATAATTATTTAGGTTTAATGGGTAACAAAATATATTATGTTTGTTCTAGTCTTCCCCTAGCCTTCTGATCAGTTCTCCTAAAATCCTCATAAAATTTCTAAGAAAAGGTGTATTCATTTCAAAAGACAAAATACAAAGTATTTCATTTTATCTTTAGAAGTATATATTCAGGTATATTCAAATCCTAAATTGAATGACATGTGTTTAGTATTATTAGGTTGGGCTCTACACATATCAACCACTTGCTGAGAAAATAATTTTAGAGAAATAAATTGTAAGGATGGTTTACATGCTAAATTGTGTAGTTTAATTATATAAAGCTTAGTTAAACCTTAGAGGTTTTTGTCTGGGTGGCACAAAAAGATAAATTTTTGTTTATATTTAAAGGAGTTAAACAACTTATGTAAAATTTTCACATAAAGTTTGTTATTTCTTTCTTTTTAAATTGAGGGTTAGATTTCCAGTTGAAATGAGGGTTGAATGGTTTAGTCTGTGTGTATTGTTCCATGAAAAGAGAGGCAGAGTGATTTCTAGCATAAACACCAAACCTACTACCCTTGTTTCACAGAGTATAATTTTTATAATTAATTTTCTAAAATATAAAGAATTCTAGTTTATTACTTCTGAAAGGAAAATCTTGCTCGAGTAAGTTTTTATGTATTAGTATGTATGTGCTTTATTTTAGTAATAAAAAATAATAGCATGAAAAATTGATTTAAAAACAACTGGGATTGAAAAAATCCTTTATGTTTTTCCATAACCTCTAATACTTTCTATAATCTTGAATTTAAGCTTTTTCCTAGCCTGAACAGAACATTTTTTATATTCTTATAAATATCAATTATTCTTTTCTTCTAGGGGATATCTGTCTAACGCCCGAGGACTTTGCTAGAGCTCAGAAATACTGCAAATATGCTGGCAGTGCTTTACAATATGAAGATGTCAGCACTGCTGTGCAGAATCTGCAGAAGGCCCTCAAGTTACTGACTACCGGCAGAGAATAAAGCCTTTGTACAGCAGATCCATGCATTTTGGCTTACAGAACTAACAGTCCATTAGTCTCCATCTTCTGCCTATCAGGAGCACAGTTTTAAGGAAGACTTCAGTTCCATTGACTATAACAATGAAATCTGTGTCTATGTATCCGATTCCTGTTGAAGCATTCATCAGAGGCCTCAACCAGTTTTTATTGCCACTTAGTGGATCCAGTAATCTCTGGGTGTATCATAATCTCTGGGTGTATCGGGCTGATGTTAAAAATGCCCATCGAACTCTACCAAAAAATGAAAATACAGTTCTAAAAAATTTATTTGTATCTTAATTTACATGATTTAAGGAATATTTTAATTTATAATTTGAACAAACAGAGCATAGTACTTTGCTATAAAATTTTAATTTTAATAAAGATGGCCAGAACATTCCAGATTAGAAATCATCCTTTTTGTTTTCCTCAAAACTTAAAAAACAGGTATGAACATCCTAAATTGTTAGATAAATCTGAAAGAGATTGTGTTCAAAATTCCATTTATATTCATGTTATAACTACATTAAAAGTTTAAATTTTCTTGGGAAAGAAGATAAGGAGGTAGAATCACTTTTAGACATAAGAAAGATGTTGGTTTCCCAACTGCTTTTCCTTATTCTTTGAAGCTTAAGGTGAATTGGTATTTGTTTCATAGGCAGCTTGACTGCATGTATTAGAGAATGAAAAATGTTTTAGTAATGCCTGGAAACCTGGTGCTTTAAGTTAGGATTCTCCTCTGCTGCTATGGAATGGTTCTCTAGAGTGTTTAGCTATGAATGATGCAGAAGTTTATAAGAAATTAGATTCTCAGTTATGTTTATAAGTTTTATGGGGAATTTTGGACTTAATGTGTCACCTGCATTTGTGCTGTATAAAAAATAAATGCAAGGATTCTTTTCACTACTTCAATTTACTACAGAGCCAAATGTCTGTTTTAATTTGCATGCTAGAATTGTCATTTTTAAGTCATTATTTTTAGTTACAGGGAATATGATATTTCTGTGGTAAGACACAATTTTCTTTAAAAGAGAGAGATAAATTTGCTTAATTTATTTGTAATGCATCTGGTCCATTTATTCCACTAAGATTGAAATACTTTAACATATGGGTCAGCAAACTATGGTTCGTGGCTTGGCCACCTGTTGTTCAAATAAAGTTTTATTGAATCAAAACCGTACCCATTCATTTGTTTTATCTGTGGTTGCTTTCCACAACTGCAGAATTGTATTTCCTACAAGTCTAAAATATTTACTATTTGGCCCCCTAAGGTGAAGTTTGCTGACTCCTGATCCGATAGTCTATCGGAAAGGAAATGAATTATTCCTAATCATTGTGTCTCTCAGTTTTTCTTTGCATCAGTGTAATGTTGTGGTATAGGTTTGATAGAATGAGGATTCAGACAGAATAAACTACTCTAAATATTTTTAAAAAATAAGCCCCAAATAACATGCTTCCTGATTAATGTTCATATCTTTCACAAATAAAGTCCTAGACCATTTTATGGGATTCAACATTTACATCTAGAAATCTAGTTCCCTGATATATTTCTTTAGAATTTTATTGCAGTAGAAAAGTGGCTATAATGATGATTAGTGCTTAAAAGAGGTAACATTTTTTAATTCAAATCTTAACATGTCTGGACACGAAAAAACAAAACTGTCGCTTCTTATTTCACACTGTTTTTTTTGTCCCCAGTTGGGAGAAGAAGGAGGGGACAAGACAGTGTGGGAACCCTGGAGCCTCCTGATAAGTGGGCCATGGTGTGACAGCCCTTATCTGTAAGATGGAAGCAACACCACCAGACACCTCAGAGTTTGTTCTGAGAGCTGAATGTGGGAGTGTACATCAAGTAGTCAGCACATAGTAGCAATCTACAAGTGTTCATTGTTGTTAACAATGTTATAAATGTTAATAATTTATTTCCTGAATTTCAGGAGATCCCTGTTGTCTCTGAAATTCAGGAAATAAATTATTTATTTATTATTATTGCCTAAAATTGCTTTCTTTTATGGGGAATTAAATTATAAAGAGATTTTTAATTGTACTTCTTCCTTAAAATCTAAGACAAAGTTAGAAATTTACTGATGTAACACTAGGATGGCAGTTTTCAGTTAGTCATTCATCATGTACTTATTGAGCAGCTACTTTGTGTCTGATAATTTTCTTGGGTAAAAAAATTGCTGAAAACAAGAGGGGGAAAAAACTGCCTCATAGACTATATTTGAATGAAAGGTAACAAACTAGATAAAAAGTATATCATGTATTCAACCAGAGATTTTCAAAGGGTAATTGTTAGAAATGCAAATATCAGTTCCTACCTGCCCCCAGTCTCACCCTATCAGAAACTCTAAGGGGGGGTGGGGGGTGGGCAGGGGTCCCTTTTTGAGTTTTAAGAAACAGAAGAGATCAACCAATGAACTGCTATGTATATATGCATAATGCATGGACTTGGACAATGGGGTGGTGAGGGGTTCGGGGAGGATGGAAGTGGGCTGAAAGAGTTTAATGGGGGGGCGGGGGGAGAGGACCTATGTAATACTTTCAGCAATAAAGATTTAAAAAAAAAATTTTTTTTTTAAATAAATGCTTCAGATAGTGCAGCAGTCCCTAAATTTGAGCGCTACTCAAATCAGAAACACTGAGTCTGAGAGAAGAGATTCTCCTGAAACTGATTCTCAAGAGTGTGGGCCCTGGACCCCCCAGCATCAGCCTCACCTAGGAACTGTTGGTGATAAATGCTATGGAGAAAACTAGAATATAGGATAAGGAATGCTTAGGTGTGTATAAATGTACATATTTTCATAGGATGGGCTCACTGAGGAACATTTTTGTTTTAAAATTTATTGTTGAAAGTATTACAGATATCCCCTTTCTTTATCCCGCTAAGCCCCTCTACCCCAGCCCCATCCACTCCCCAGGCCTTCACCACACTATTGTCTGTGTCCATGGGTCATGCATATAGATTATTTGGTTAATCTCTTCACCCCCACTCTCACCCTCTGAAGGGCATGTGAAGGAAAGGACAAAGATGTTCTCGGCAGAGAGAGGTAGATAAGAGAAGGGGTCAGGGCATAAGTGGGGAAAGCTTGTGAACTTGGTAGAAGGTTTGACCATATGCTTTTACTCTAAGGAAGATGGGGAGCTACTGAGAGGTTTTGAACAGAAGAGTATCTGATGTGACAACTTTTAAAAGGATCATATTGACTACTGTGGGAGCCCAATTAAGAATATTGCAATAATTATAGCTGAGATATTCCGATGGCTTAGGTCACTAGTAGCAGTGGAGGTAATAAGATGTAATTGGATTCTGGATTTTTTTTTCTTTTCTTTTTTTTTTTTTTTTCTTAGTAGAACCACAGTATTTCTGATAAACTGGATCTGAGAAATGAGCCAAAGAGGAGAGAAGGTTTCGGACCAAGTTTTAACCTGAACACCTGACAGGAATGAACAGTCATTAGTTGAACTGGGAAAAGTTGCTAAATTCTTCAGACTTTTAGGCTGAAGCACAATGTTTCCTAGTTCTTGTGACCATCCTAAGTGAAACTGTTTGATAACATTGTTTTGTCAATGCACACAGAGGGGGAAGAAAAATAAGATAAGTTCCATCTACATTGATTGTCACAGACATCTCACTAAATCACTGCTGACCTGGACTGAGAGCCAACCACAGTTCCCATGATTAGCATGGCCAAGGAAGTTTGCAGGCTTCAAGATCACACCAAGAAAAAGACCACAGTTACAATTCTTGAACATTAACATCCTCAGGTGATCATAGAATTGATCTATACTAGTATATGACTTGCACTTCTAGAAATTTGAGGTCACTACATACGTGGTAGGTTATACGCTATTCTTTCTAAAGAAAACTCTCAGCAGCTTGGTCATAAATATTTTGAACTCTTAAATGAATAACAGTAGGAAGTAGTGTTTTGCTTATCTGCACAGCTTCCTCTCTCTACCCATGTCCCCCTTTTTAAAAAACTACACATTATGAACCAATACAACTGGATCAGGTCATCTAGTTTGGACCACAAATAAACTACCAGTAGAAAAGTTCTGTTCTTAAAAGAGATCACAAAAGACAAAGACACTCCTCATGGAGATATGCTGATCTGGTTGGTTGTAATCTGATGTCTACATAGAATTTTGAGATGGAAAGTTCATTCATTGGAGTATACTTAAGTAAGACTAATTCCAAGTAAGCAATACTTTAATAATCTGTAATAATTAAAGTGTAATATGCTAATTAACTGGACAACTGAACGACCTGTCAGGGCTGAGGCAAGCCACTGAGGTTGCTAGGGCTGAGCCCCTTGCATGAATTTCATGCATCGGGCCTCAGTAGTAATATAATAGCTATCATTGAATGCTTACTAAATGATAGAGCATTTGAAGGAAAAAGAAAAAGATGTTCTTGGCAGAGAGAGGTAGGCAAGAGAAGGGGTCAGAGGATATATGTGGGGAAGACTTGTAAACTAGTCTAAGTATTTTATGCACATTCATATAATCCTGCCAATATTCCTGAGAGGTGGGTTTTGTTTGCCTCATTGTTTTCTGTTTTACAAGTGAGGCAGCCACAAAGTAATAAATTTGTCTGAGGCTGCACAGATAATACTGAAAGTTTCTAAGCCCACATTACTTATTTCATACAATAAGTATCATCTATGTAGGTAAATCATCAGTTAAATTGTTATGAGTACAGTGAGATGTTTTAAATTAACTTCACATTACCAGTGCCACTAGTCACAATCAATGTCACAATTTCTCTCATTAACAGGTGCAATAGCTGGATTTTTCTATTATCTGGCTCTGTGTTCCAATAACTAGGTGGTAGGCAGTGAACACAGGGTATGAGCACATTCCCTGGAGCCTATGGCCTGAGAGCAAATGGACTGCAAGTCTAAGGAGAAAGCAGAACTTGAGTAGCTGGTGCAATGGATTAATACAATATCATCTCTGAGAGGGTGAAACACATCACTGGAGAGTCCTGAGTTTCCCAGACAAGCCTGTTTTTTCTTTTTAAGTAACATCACTATTTTTATTTTAAACATACAACATTTATTTTAAACATCTTCTTTTAAGACAGTAGACAGCCTTCATCTTTCAGGAAACAGATTAGGATGTGGACTTCAACATAAATATAATAATAATATTTATTATGAATTTCCTCAATTAAAATGTGACTAGTGTACTAGCCCCTTAAAAATGATTCTTATGACCCTGAATAAAACCAATCTATTTTTTCTTTGTGCAGTGGTTTCCAATTCCTCCTCTTTTTTTTTTTTTTTTTTCTTCCTTCCTTTATTTTCCTTTGCTTCTTTCTTTTTTGGAATGACTTTTATATAGGATGATATGAAAATAATCTATGGACTGCTTTTCTCATAAATGGAGATTTTATTACTATAGATGTGGGGACTGAAAACAACATGTCTGCCTTTTGTGATGCTAAATTTAAAGGGGATAAATACTGGGGATTAAAAAAAAAACAAACCCATGCATGCCTTTAGTTATTTATAAACTAGAAGCCGGATGCACAAAATAGCCAGTCTGTACCCTCTCCAATCAAGGACTACCCATGGATCAGGCCTAAACCAGCAGTTGGACATCCCTCTCACAATCCAGGAGTGCTGGCTCCTAACTGCTATCTGTCTGCCTGCCTGATTGCCCCAACTGCCCCCCATGCTGGCCTGGTTACCACTAACTGCCTTCCCCTGCCAGCCTGGTCATCCCCAACTGCCCCCCTGTGGGCGGGCCTGGTCACCCCTCACTGCCCCCTCTGCCAGCCTCATCACCCCATGCAGCTGGCTGTTCAGTCATTTGGTCGCCCCCTCACTAACCTCCCTGCCGGACTCGTTGCCCCATGCAGCCTGCCAGCCTGCTGTTCGGTCGTTACTACCTGACCATGTGGCCTATTGTTACTGTGATGGCATCCTGGACAATTTGCATATTCCTCTATTATTAGTATAGACGAGTAGATACATTTAATGAGTAAATATACTTATTGATTCTCTTTTCAATACATTTGAGATACTGTTTATAAATATTCCCTGTTATTTTAAATATTTTCAAATTAATTAGCCTGAAAAGTTTTGCTATAGTGACTTAGACTTTTTTTTTTTCCCAAGCTGCTTGATTAACAAATTAGTTCATTATTTATTGGTACCATTTATTT